AAAGTGATAAGTTTATTTTAATTAGCTTTAAAAAATAATATATAATTTTAATGAGCTATGCTGTATACATTAATATAAATAATTTTAAGATATTTTTATATTTGTATTTATAGAATTAAACGAGTTAAGATTTTTAAAGTTAATTACTTGTTTATAACTGAAAGAAATTATATAATATAATAAATTTTCTCGTAAAATTGTCTAGTAAAGTCTTATAATAATGGTGTAGCTAACCTCGAGGGTGTCAGAAAAGTAAGAAGAATGATAAGTTTGGAAAGGTAGGAGCACAGATATTCAAGGAAGAGACAACTTCTCATAAGTATATTATTACCATTTATCAGAATCATAAGAAATAACAAGATAATCTACACAGTAGGGATGCTGAAACAATAAAAGTTTGAGATATAATAAGTAAGTAACAATAGAAAAGTTTAATAGAGAGAATTTTAGCATTGGAAATCTATAGATAACAATTGAAAAGAATGAAAGTTAATTAATTAGTATTAAATTATATAAATCCAGGCTTTGAAAACACCAGAAAGCATTTATAATGAGATGCATCAGCTCAATGATCATCTTTTATTGCATAATTTGTAGGAGATAAATTAAGTCTTAATGAGTAATCAATGCATAATTTTACATTTTAAATATATACAATTATGAATTATTAATGAGGGAGGAAGATAGCTTTTAAAACTTTTATGAAATTTTATTAATGATCTAGCCATTATACAAGCATTAGAAAGATGAAAAAGCAGTTTCTGGGGAAATAAAACACGTTAAGAAAATATAATTTATGTGTAGATTATATATAACTTTTATAATGTGTATAATTTAAATGTAAGGTCAAATTGTCATTAAATTATTCGTTTGTATTTTAGAATAGAACAGTAGAAACTGCACGAAATGTAATTGTTATGAGTGATTAGAAAGTTAAAATTGGTCGATTTGTTACGATTAAAATTTATTATATTAAAATTACAAGACAGAGTGCACGTTAGCTAATACGTTTAACATATTAAAATCTTCAATTCGTCATTAAAATATATTTAAAAATGGAAAAACGAAGAGAAGTATAAGCGATTTTTATTCATAAATTAACCAATAAATTATTAAAGAGTGCATCATAAGCGTGTGTAGGCTTTACCTAAAAGTTTTAATCGAAGCATCTATCATACTCAGAAACAAAACTATTATTCCTCAGGGAATGTAAACTTGGTATCAAGAGTGAACAAACTTCTTAAGGATTCAGGAAAATATCGATAATCGAACGAGAGATTCGGATCGAAAAAAGGGTAAACCAATTTAATCAGAAAGATGGTTTCTTCTCGGTAATAAGATATCAACTTAATAATATTTTTTACTCTCTTTAATAACATTTTCAGATGATCTAGTTATAAAAGAAAGTACTTATCGTTATTTTTGTTCCTTTTATTTTTATGATCTTCACCTTTATCTAATTTAAGATCGTTTTATTGAAATTTTTTCTCTCCCCTCTCGCCTCTGAGTTTTCCTACAAACGAATTTTTACACATTCTATTTTATTGATTTAGAAATGTTATTGTTACGATCTTTCAGGCATCCAGTCGATAGTTGAAAGTACTTTACTTTTATCCTTTCATTTCTATGTTATTGTTTACATTATCTTGCTTTGAAATAATTTTTCCGAGCAAATTATTCATTGAAATATCCAGAAACTTCTTGGAAAATGTTTCGTAAGGCATTTTAGATTAATGGATTTTCACATATACTTACTACGGAATAACTGTTATTTAAAAGCTTTTTATGTTTATTAAATTTCTTCTTACTGTAGGATATTTTTCGTTAAATTTTATATTTGAAAATATATTTTTATGCTAAAATTTCGAATTTTCTTTCGATTTTCTTGTTCAAATTGCATTTTTCTTTACTAATCTAGTGTAGAAATCGTATTGTATTTTTAATAAAATGCTTTATTTTAATGACTTATCGCTCGGATGATCTCGTAAAATTAACTCATTTATCAATAATTGAACGATAAGAAAAAGAAAAAAATGTACCTCAAAAATCTAATTTTGTTGTTTATTGAAGTTGAAATATTAATTTGTATATAGAAAATTACTTATCAAAATTCCAGGAAATCATTATCATAAGATTTTTTCTTTCAAAAGAAAAAAATCATTTTTGTACAACTTATTTTTCAATACGTAGCGTGTATATATGTATACAATACATGGACTAAGTCGTTTCCATTCATCTACATACAGTGGACTTTCGATATAGTGAATTTTCTTTCACTACCCAAATGTAGATAAAGGGAAACGACTGGGTTTATTATATATCCCAAGATTTCATTATATACAGTACATAAAGAATTGCAAAGACCAACAAAAGTGACCATTATATCGAAAGTTCGCTATGTCGGGTGATCATTATATCAAGAGTCCACTGTATATATATATACAGTGGACTCTATATCTATATCTATGAAAAAAGATGAAGGCAGATAAACATTAAATTATTAAGATTAAAGAGAAGTAATAAAACTATCACATATAAACCAAATAGGAGTATTAATCTCAACTTATTTTTACACACAAATGACAGTTTTATTATTTTTATTATAATTTTTTTAATTATTAATCACTTTTATTTAACTTGCTTTGAATAGTGTCCTCAAATCTTGCAACTCAGATTTCATCTACTTCTAATTAGGATAGGATAGGAACATCTTCAAAGTTTCATCCTTCTAAGTTTGTTTAGAGGGTGGTTCCACTCCGAAATCCGAAAAACAGCACAAAATTTAGAATTTAATCAGCAATATCAATTGGGCATAGATAATTTAAATGTGTGTGTAGATGCATTGTAATGAAATTAAGGTTGGTTCAATCCGTCCTCAATTCCTTAACCTCACTTAAGTGGCCAAAATAGGAGTTTCCTAAAATGATAATTATTCCCAACAGAATAAGAGA